TTAATACTTTGGAGAAGGGGGGTCATTGTGTTTTGGTTGTGTAAGGAATAGTTCTACCACACTGGGAAGAATGATTAACTTATCATTTTATTTGGAAATCAAGTGTATGGTTTAAGATGTATGTGGGTGACAAGATGAGGAGGGGTGGGTTATGACTGGCATTTGTGTAGGTCAGTTTCCTGAAGAAACACCTAGTGAGTTAGGGGCACATGCTTTGGGGTGTGTCTGGGCAGGCTACAGCAGTGGGATCTTGGGCAGCACATCAGGCCCTGCCCCTATCTCTCTGGCACTGCTCCTCTGCTCTGCTTGCTGAGCACCATAAAGCAAGCTCCTTCACTCCACCATGCCCTTCCTGATGCTGCTTCTGCCTCGGAGCCAAATGACACTGGGCTGAGACTGAAGCAAATCCACCTCTCCTTTTTCAAGCTGTGATGATAAAGCTGACAGATGTAGCACCCGACTTTATGGGTGCTAAGTGGTACTCTGAGAGCTCTCAGCCCTTGCCTGGCCCAGGAAAAGAAAGCAGTACTGGCTCATGGACCACGGGTTAAACCATAAGAATTTCAACCCTCTCAAAAATTAATAGGCAAGTTAAGGTTTCAATAAATTTATATTTCTGAGGATCTAGAGACTATAAGCGTAAAACTCCTTCCTCGCAGGAGGTCCTATGAAATTGTTCTAAAATATCTGCAATTATACTTCTCATATCAATAAATATGTACCAATTTTATGAGCAAAATAAAATTTAAAGAGCAATTAGCTGCAGCAGAATGCTTGCACTTGACTGGAATCAGGAAGACACTGTTACTCCAATCTTTGCATGCTTTTCGGCTTCTCCTTTGATCGGTTAAGGTTTTTCCTGCACCTTCCTACACCTGAGGATTTCTGTAAACAGCTGCTGGACTGGTTCTTTAAATTGCAGTAATCAAAGCACTCAAGAATGCACCTGGTTGAAGCCAACAGCACTTGAGCTGCCACACAGCGGCCTTTGTTCATGTCACTGCGGACAGCAGATGGAAAGGAAGTGTTTTCAGCAAACTGAAGCAATGCTGCAGGACACCACATCACAGTGTGTGGGAAGGCTGCTCCCCAGCAAGTGACAGAGAAAATGGCTTGAGCTGGAAGACATGCTGCTGTTTGAACAGTGTGTAAGAGATTTTTCAAAGAAATAATATTTCCTGTAATTATGTTAATTTGCTGATTTATTTCACATAGAAAAAAATTTCTCAAAGTCTCAAACATCACAATATTACATACATCAAATCAACAGGCACCATTCTTGTCAACAGTACACACACCCTTCAGCTTCAGAAAACGTTCCTTCTCAGTGCTCAAACAGTCACATTTCTGCTTCTCAGACCAAGAACAAGGCCTGCTCAAGTGCATTATGGAAACTGAACTTTCCGCACTAAACCATGAACTTTTCTCAGTTACTTTTGCCACACAGGTTTTTCCTGATCCTTACTTATTATACTCTAGTGGCAGTGGGAACAGTAAGGCAAAATGTATTACGTTAGGGAATTAGAAAAGCCTCAAAAGTGCTTCAATATAATTCTTAGGCCAATCAAGTCTGCTTGCCAGACTACCACAGAGTTAAATGAAATGTACAATTATTGTTCAGCTGTTTTTGCTTTAACTGTCAACTCTACCTCTAAGAAAGGTAACAGTTAACTACAATGAAAAGCAAGCTGCTCTTCAGTGTAATTTCAACTGTCTAAGCTGTGATCAGAGTGGCAAAAAATGCAAATTAAACCATGTAGTTAATTGTGTAGAACAAATAAGTCATTGATTAATCTGTTTATAACATAATTAATCTATTATTCAGTCAATAATATAAGAAAGAACAGAATTGTGGGCTGGCCAGATAGCTCAGTGGATTAAAGTGCCTGCTTAGGCAGATGCAGGGACCAGGGGTTTGATCCCCAGTGTGCCATGCCAGCCCTGCCTCAGGGGCACACTGAGACAAAATAAGACTGGGTGTGGTAGCACGCACCTATAATCCCAGCACTTGGGAGCCTGAAAACAGGAGGATCACCACAAGTCTGATCTGTGTAGTGAGGCCCTATAGATCCTGTACTAAATACATAAAAAAGAAATAACAGAATGTAAAACATTGGGAGTTTGGTGGTTTCATTTTTAAATAAATTTGGAAGCCCAAAGAGAATGGCAGACATACATATAAAGACTAATATTTAGCCAACATAACTTGGTTTTAACTGAGACTTTATTTACATTTTAACATCTCTTTACTTGGTGGCCTGTGATTACAAATAGAAAACACTATATCAGGTATTGAGGTTCATATGTACTTTGGAAAGTAAAATTCTTCCATGCAAAATATTGGGCTCACCTCCCCCTCTTCAGTAAAATGCCAAAATAATAATGTAAGCTGCCACATCAAATATTACGATCTGCAATCTCACAATGTACCCTTCCCAACTTGACACAGCTACACTGTCTTCTCTTTCCCAAAACATGACACCCCTTTCCCCACCTCTAGATAAGGAAAGTAAGGTGTCTCAGTCACAGATCTGTGGTGTGTCCAGCAGGACCCAACCTGAACCGCCCCTGCCCTGCCCTGGGACCTTAGGGAAATGTTACAACTCCAGCCAGACTTGGCAGGTAATGTACGACCGACTGAAAATCCTCTGCAGTCGGATAGAAAAATCAAGCACCTTTATCACACAATTACAGCCAAGAAGGAATATATTTTCATATAAACTGAGGTACATGTATGCTGTTTGATTTAAAATTTGATGAATATTTAGATTACAATTTTAAAAATTATAGTGAAAGAAACATTGCCTTAAGACCTCCTTAAAATCTCCTGCTTCAAACACACACCATCATTTTACTGCTTCTTGCCGGAGCTGTGGAGTCCTCTTTCCTGACTGTCTTTAGCTGTGCTGTGTGGCTGCCTGGATGTCCTCAACAGACTCGAAACTTTTAGGGCAATTTCTGTGAAACAGGCCCATCACAGCACTCTCGTCAGCCTTCGTCACTGGATCAGCACTGTGTGGCTTCTGGTTCCTTGGCAAAGTCAAAATGACCACAAAAGGGAAACAGCTTGAACCGACTCAGGACAACTAAGCCGCCAAGGCAGCACAACTGAAGTCACGCATATGCCTAGTGGGGTGGCGCAGGCCTGTAATCCCAGCACTCAGGAGGCTGAGGCAAGAGCACCACTGTGAGTTCGAGACCAAACTGGGCCACAAAATGAGCTCAAGGCAACCTGAACTACATAGGGAGACCCTGTCTCAAAAACAAATAAATAAATAAATAGGATGCCAGAGCTGCTGCAGAAAGCGACAAGAGCCAAGGGGTATGTTCCCAGCGTGTGTCGGGTGGTGCTGAGAAGATTCATGACGATGAGTCTTTTCATGCAACAAGTCTTCAGATACATTAATCATTTGCTCTGTGTTTGGATCGCACCTCGTACTTCTGTGCATTTTTAGACTGTGACTTACCTAGAGTAATTTTAAATTAAGTATGCTTCGAAATCCTCACGATACAGCAGGCTCTGAAGTTAAGATTTTCCCGAGATTGCATGCTCCTTACTGGAGGATACGATGCTTCTGTCAAATGCTTCTTCTCTACTTCTTGGGAAGGGAAGCCAAGTCAGGCAGCCCGGGCCATGAGGAGCTTCCCCATGGAAGAGTCTGAGCACTGCCTGCGGTTCTTTCTGCTCTTCTCCTTTCTGCTTTCGCTGTACAGGGCAGCCCCACAGGCAGGAGCCTGACGCATGGCTGAGGTAGAGGGTGCAGCCAGTGAGCTGTCTCCTGGTGGCCCAAGTGTGCCTGACCTAATGCTATGCCATCAGCTCAGTCCAGTGCATCCTCCTGGAAACCAGATGGGCTGCAGCCTCTCTTTCCTGTCACTTACTTCCCAGGTTGTTAACAACCTAGGTGGTCTATTTAGTTGTCAACCTCAAATACTCCAAGGCATTAGACATAATCTCCCTTGGCAGAGGGAAAATAGGCTCAGACATAGTAGGTGCCCTGCCTCAGGTTCCCCCTGTCAGAGCATACAGTAGTAGACTGCACTTTGACCTAAAATATGTTTTCAATGTATTGAATCCCCCTATTGAGATATAAAATACACAGCTTCAAAATCTACCAGTTAGTGGGTTTCAGCACATTGAACTGCAACTGTCTTCTGCCAAGGTATTTCCACCCCCTCCCAAGGCAGCGCTTACCATGAGAAGCCAGGCCCACTGGCCCTCACAGGTCATGGCAAGCGCTAGTCCACTGTTTACCCCTAAGGTCTGTGTGTTTCAGTCATTTCACAAGTGTGTGTGCGCGCGTGCGTGTATGTGTGTGTGTGTGAGAGAGACAGACAAATTATGTGTATCACACAAGTGTGTCTACATCCACACCACATGTACATCCTATGCTAGCAAAGAGAAGCTTTGGAAGAGAGCCTGCTGCTGTTTTATGGGTTTAATGAACACCTCCTCAGCAAATCCAAGGTGAGTTAGGATATGAGTCATCTCGAGTCACACTCATTAGACCATTTGTACAGCTTTTTCAGACCTCCAGCAAAATGACAATTCCCATCTCACCATCTGATGTCTTTAAACCAAAGGAAATATCCTTTTAGAGGAGATATTTACACAACAAGAAATTATTAGTTTTACATAGAAGAAAAAACATATACCTGTGCTTCCTACTTTAGGCAAGCTGATCACTAATAAGAGGCTCTGGAAACCTCACAGTCAGCTTAGCCAAAATCTAAAAGGTATCAAATACTGCCCTTAGGGTGACATAGCTGAGGCTGAACAGAGAACTAGAATAGGAGGGTTTTAAAAAGTCAGAAGCCTTTCCTAAGTTGTGAAGCTCCTACTGTCAGCAACCATTTAGTGAGCATGCTGACAACCACTTCCAAGTTTTCTACCTCTTACTGGAGACAGGCTGTGAATGACTGATGGGAGCATGGGGGGCAGAAGGAGCATCGCCAGCGGCCCAGAAGAAGGTCCACTGTCTGCTGGGGGGGACACTCACAGCTTGCTGGGCGGCGCTGGAAGTTCGTGCAGGAGCTCTTCGTAGGGCTCCTCTTGGGCCAAGGAGGGAGAAGAAGACAAAGGCCCTTTCAGGTTTTCTTCCCACGCAGCTTCTGCTTTCAGCAGCATTTCCTCAATAAACTCAGAGGCAGCGACCTCTGCAGGCAACAACGAGAAAGTCAGATAACATGGGGTGAAAGCCCAGAACAGCATTTACTTTCAATAGTCCAGACATGCTTAAGGCGATTAAATGTATCAGCACAGGAAGCAAATCAAAGCACATTAAAAGGTTATGGCATAGATAAAATTGCAATACTGCCACTTTAAAAGACTATCTTGTCTTACATCAGTAACACGTTTAATTACAAATGAAAAAATATAAAGATAATATTCACTGGATGGTGATGGGTAAAATGGAAAATTACGCTAAGGATTAGCTTCCAAGAAGTTAATATCATTTCATTCCCAGTAAAACTTTTCTTGTGTCTTGCTGATTGCAAATCAAAATAAGGACAATACAAGGTGTGGTCACAAATGTGAATGTTTAAATTAAAAATGTGTTTCAAAAAAAGGATACATTGCCACAGATTCCCCTCAAGTTATTCCACCTTGCAGCAAAGCATTTATCCCATCGTCCTGTCACTTCCTTCAGCAGGTCTGGAGTACTCTTTCCTGAGTATCTTTAGAGTCCTGTCCTGACTGCCTCAATGAGCTAAACTGATTTGGAACATTTCCCTTTTGTGGTCAGTTTGAACTCGGGAAGAGCCCACAGTCACCAGGTGCCACGTCTGGGGAGTACGGTGGATAAGGGGAAGACTTTCATGTTTTCATGAAAATGGAGGTAGCAATCGTATTCCTTGCGCTCACACCTGGTAAAACACCTAGGAAAGGAGGTTCTAGACCTGCTCCACTCCAAAAAGGGGCAAGAATGACAGGATGAGTGTGTTTAAAGTGAAGGGGGTTCATGAGGAGATACTCACAAGGCAGTGTGCATTCTACTGTAAAATAGTTTTTTAAAAAAAAATCTTAAACCTTCACTGTATATTTTGATTCTTCTGTCATTATGTTCCCAGGGCTGGGATGTGATACACACCCATCCACCCAGTAAGCACTCTCTCCACAGCCCACCGAGTGAAGACAGGTACTCAGGGCCACTGCCACAGCGACTCCAGCCTCTTCCCATGACCTTTTCGTTCCACTAGAAACATCAATTAATATACCTCCTTTAAAACAACATCTAAACTATGATGCCTGAGCACATTTTAGCAGCAATCAAACACATTTAGCAAACCTAGTTAGCAACCTGACATTAAAGCTGCTTAGCAAATCTAACGCTGAAACTTCCTAACATCTGGAGAATGAATGATCACCACGACCGACTCGCCCAACAGACACAGCCACTAACTTTTGTGACCATCTTTGCAGGCAGCTGAGCTGCCTACTTTATGGGATGGTACAAGCAATTTTGCTGCTACAAGATGACATTTAAGCCAGATGTGATCTGCACAGGCCTCTGACTAGATCCCACATGTGTGAGCAGGTCAGCGCTAGCTTCCTCAAGCCGGGAAACTGCGTTTCTAGTCCACCTGAAAGTTACATCTCCAACCACTTTTTCCCCAAGATGTGAAAATTCAAGAGCCACAAAATGAAGAGAGTGTGATGCCCAGTGATGGTGATGCCCCCTTGCTGGGCTGTCATGGGGTGCCTGGTTCACTATTTTCTGCCCCACCCTTCTTCCTGGTCCGGTCTTCTCTCATTATGGTCAAAGTGCTCAGAGTTCCCATATTTACTTGGAATCTCTCAGTGTGTCACAGTTTTCCGCTCCTTGTGGGTGAAGGAAATATCTTAATTAATGAATATATACTGAGGGTACACAGTGGCCCCAGTACTGTGTGTCTGGGTGGAACAAAGAGGGCACTGAACTTGTGCTCGACTCTGCAGGGCCAGGTTGGTGAAAGCCATGAGAGAACCCTTGTGCAGGGGGCTGAGGCGACCAGGCTGAGGGACAGCAGAACTGCTCCCTCTCTGGGCCCCAAAAGGGTCACTGCAAGTGGGTACTGGCCACGGAACAGTGGATCACAGCTCAAAAGCAGAAAGCAAGGGGGCAGGAGTCCCTGTGGTCCAGGCTCACTCATCTCTTTCTTGTCTAGAAAGAAGCCAGGGCAGGAAGCTGACAACCTGGCCCCTGATGGAGCTAGACTTAGAAAACACACCATAGACTGCCAGTAAGTACTTTCTATTTTTGTCTTTTTGAGACAGGGTCTTGTTATGCAATTCAGGTTGGCCTTTAACTCATGGTGTAGCCCAGGCTGATCTTGAACTTGCATAGATTTTCTTGCCTCAGCCTCTCAATGTTGGGATGGCAGGTGTGTACCACTACTTCTGGCCTAATAAGTACATTTTTATATTTATTTTTTATTTTTTATTGTATTTAGGACATAGTGTATGTACAGGGTCTCACTGCATAGATCGGACTCCTAGTGATCCTCCTAATTGCAGCCTCTCAAGTGCTGAGATTATAGGTGTGTGCCACCACACCCAGTCTCAATTGCCATCTCAGCATGCCCCGGGGGCGGGGCCAGCGCCATACTACCTTTAAAAGAATTTAAAGATTAAAAAAATCTTTAAAATGTTTCTTTAAAATGTTAAAAAGATATCTTAAAATCTTTAAAAAGATTTTGTAAAAAGTCCCAACCTTCTTTTACCTTTTTAATATTTACCATTAGGCCTAGTTAGTCAGCATTCAGCAGTCAATGTCACCCTAACCAGGTATCATCAGCATAAGCCCACCTAAAGCTCAAGTTTGAGACTTAGCTGCTATAGTTCTTTTTGTTATTTAGTTCATTTTAACAGATAATTAAACAAACACTCAATAATCATATTTGATGCCCATAAAATTAAAAAAAAAAAGAACAATTTCCTTCATTTTGGCTTTAACTGTAGCTTTCTGAAATAATCTGACTCTTAATCAAACGAGAACTCCCAAGAGTAGGGGCTTTTCATTTGGTAAAGGCCCAGCAACAAAATCAATAAATAGATTTATTCAGATCAGTAGCTACCTTTAAACCTTTTTATATCCTTGTGTTACTTATGTTATATTCTTCTGTTTACTTAAAATTCTGCTTCTAATATTATAGAATTAACCATGAGACATTTTGTTGTTAAACTTTAACACTACAAAACCAATGTACATCTATTTTTTAAGCATATGAACGAATGAAAAGGTAGTGATAATTACAGAAATCTTCAAAAACATTTTATAGAGTGAGAAACTTTAAGTCAGCTTATAAAGTTCTAAATTACCATGAGAATGTTAGTCTCTATTCCCTATAATCTAAACACCTGTGCAAACCACCCCCCCAAAAAAAACCTATTGGTACTGAAAAAATACCCAAAGGAATAAGCATGTATTTGTAATGACAACAAACAAGGTGGGCAGGAAAAAGGTGTTTCAGATGAGAGCATACAATGAATGAGTACCTGCAAGTGCACTAGAGGGGCATGCAGGGCACAGTGCCGTGGCCTCAGCCTCAAGCTTCCCAGGGACCCACAGCGCACAGCCGCAGGAAACCCTGTTTTTCACTGCGCTAATGATGGAAGATCCACTCCCACCCAGAGGTAGACACAGAACCTGCGGGAGGGGGACTCCCCTCATTTCCCTCACCCACCTGATGGCTTCTCTTCATTACAGTTCACAAGCTTTGGGTTTGCTCCATGTGTCAAGAGGAGTTTCACCAAGTTCGTCTGCAAAACAAAGATAATCACAAAGGAAACACCACGCAGACCCTCAGGGCTCATCCCTAAACCTAGCTGGCTGCCTGTGAGCAGGGGCTGCTTCCAACCTGGCCAGGGAAGGGCCGCACTGCACAAGTGCTGCCTACTGCGCAGCTCTCGGTCCTGCCGAGAAAAGCTCCAGGTGACGTGTGCATCCGGATCAAAAGCCACTTGTACTTTTCAGATTTTACTTACTCTTTCTACGTGTAAAATGAGTGCTGAGTTAGAGGATTTGTAGGAGATATTTTATACCCTTCAAGGTGCTCTGAGGTTACTTTATAGGAGCTATATGACGTACAATGTCTTGTTTTCTATTTAACCGTTGGATAAACGGTAACTTGTTCTTACTATCTCTCCATGACAGCATTTGGGACATGGAGACAGCATTATAAAGTCAAGTTCTGTAATTTGAAAAAAGCAATTTTATATTATAGTGAAATCTACTAATTCCTTGATGAGAGTTAATATACTTCAATTATAACATATATATGTGTGTATATAGGTTTAGATAACAGCGAAAAAGTAACACTTAAATGTACGCAGCTTTGGGACTGGGGAGATGGCTCAGTGGAATAAACGCTTCCCTGGCAAGCACAAGGGCCTGAGTTCAATCCCCGGTTGCACTAAAAAATCAAAAATTAATAAAAATAAATAAATGTACCCAGTTATTAAAAATATGGCATCAGAAGCATCTTTGTTTGTCCTCTTACTCCCCCATCTCGGAGAGTTGAGTACTACCAGGAATTGGGGAACCTTACTATCTTTCTATGCTTAGCAAATACACATGGACGTGAAGCGAACCTGCACAGGGTGGATCAGTTCCCCACACTTACAGAAACCAAATTCTGGTCTACAGATTCTTCTCTGCCGCCTTCTCAACGCTGTGATTCTGAGATTTCTCCACGCTGGGTTTAACTAGGACGTACTCACTTTCTGGGCTACACAGAACTGCAC